CAACAAATGGTTACTTAGGTTACTACATATCAAACAAATGGTTTCTTAGGTTACTACATACCAACAAATGGTTACTTAAGTTACTACATATCAACAAATGGTTACTTAGGTTACTACATATCACACAAATGGTTACTTAGGTTACTACATATCAACAAATGGTTACTGAGGTTACTACATATCAACAAAGTGTTACTTAGGTTACTACATATTAACAAATGGTTACTTAGGTTACTACATATCAAACAAATGTTTACTTAGGTCACTACATATCAATAAATGCTTACTTAGGTTACTGCCTATCAACAAATGGTTACTTAGGTTACTACATATCAAACAAATGGTTACTTAGGTTACTACATATCAAATAAATGGTTACTTAGGTTACTACATATCAAACAAATGGTTACTTAGATTACTACATACCAACAAATGGTTACTTAGGTTACTACATACCAACAAATGGTTACTTAGGTTACTACATACCAACAAATGGTTACTTATGTTACTACATACCAACAAAGTGTTACTTAGGTTACTACATATCAACAAATGGTTACTTAGGTTACTACATACCAACAAATTGTTACTTAGTATCTACATATCAGCAAATAGTTACTTAGGATACTACCTATCAACAAATGTTTATCTATGTCACCTCAATAAACACACATGTCTAGTGTATCTTTTGAAAATATGACCACATACAACGTTATTATTACACTGCGTCCCTGCTACTCATATGAAGATATCTTCCTTGCAAAATATATACTATATACAAAAACGCTTTATTCTCGCAGTGTAGTATTTGTGAGATGCGTGACAGTTGGTTTGGACCTGTATGGGAGCATGCAGTTTGTCTCTACTCGTCTCCCACGCTAAATCGGACATAACACACGTACAAAAACTATATCACGTATCTTTACCGTGGTTCGTTAATGAGTTCCTGACCTCGGAAATACGGACTTTGATACAATAGTCATTGTCAAGATACGATCAAACGACGCAACGCTGCCACGCAAGATTGCCATTACAATGCATACAAAGGGCAGCACCCTGCTGACGCGTGTAGTGTGCAGTGTGTACTTACTTCTCGAATTTAATTTGTACCTTTTAATCATTTTATAGTATTCACGAAATTATCGCTTGTGTTTATTTAAAATGTTAAATTGCGTTCAGTAAGAAGTAACACCTGTACTAATTTCAAAATAAAACCGATCTAATTTACCACATCGTCAAAATACAGGAAGGGGAAAAAAGGATTTCACCATCAAAAATAAAGAAAGACTCGAGCCCTGTTCAAGTAGTTCCTTATAATTTTCTCGGGGCACTATTTTAGTTCATACACATCAGTTGCATTAATTGAAATTAAAAAAAAAGTATGCGTTTGTGTTACACTTAACCGTTAAATGTTGATATACATGTATACAAAATATATTATATATTGATTAACCAATAAAGGTTTGCTCAAATGTGGACTGTACTTGTGACAAACCTCGTAGTGTGTACTATATATATATATATATTTACATAGTGACAAACGACAAGACTTTACAAACTTATTAACCTATTCTTACAGACACATAGTGTTGAGAAAATATGCAGTACATTATTTCTGTTGTGTATGTTTTCTTAGCTAGCTTTTAGTCATTCGGCTATTTCTTTGCATAAAAATGTATGCACATCAAATAAATGCATAATGCGATTCCACATGCAATTTCAAGAAAAGAAAAAGAGTACATACACGTCTGGTGACCTTGATTTCTCGATCGTAGTCTTACATGTATTCAAACCTATGTATCTATAGTACAACGAATGCATATATGTTTCCCTGTTCATATTTGCAATTTCATTGCATCAAACTCAAGAGTAATGTATACATGAATAGTCTAGGCTGATGAAAGCTAAAATAAGAAAATACTATATAATAGTGCAACATCCAACGGTAACCTCGGAACTTAAAGTAAATAAAAAAGTGTTTAACGAAAGATGATTGTGACACCAAACATCAGACGAAAGGCTTCATTAACAGTTCTTAAGCACGAACACACGAAAACACTCACACATACGGTTACACACACATGTTAAATAAAGCCGGAACCACTGAAGCTCGGCATGTTATCATAGAGGCCTTCATAAGCTCAAGCTTGAATTTTGTGCTCAAGCTAACTTTTTTTCTGATTAGTTTATCAGGCGAACACAGATTCTGGGTTTGACCATGAAAACAGTTTAATGAATACGGGCCCTGGTGTTGCGCATACGACAGTATGTTTGTTTGACAGACAAAAACGTATAAGATAACATCAGAATCACATTAAATATATATTTAAAATTTGTAAAACAGTACAATTTTAGAGTTCTTCATTAAGTCTTAATTAAACTTTTCAAACAAGCACTACATTCAGCACAATATTGCGATTCGATTTTACCAAAATAGTCAGTCTCACTCTGATATCATACATACGGCTGCTGTCCGGGTGATCTCGTCTTCCTTATATCGACGTCTATGCGCAAGCCACCATAATAATCTGTATTCAGCTGATGTCTGTAAAATTGGCCAAGATCAATGACACACGTGATGATCTCCCAGTTATAGATGATACACGACACGTTATCCACAGGCTCTGGGTAATCTGGAAACAGGATCATTAATGGGTTTTTTTTATCTTTCTTTGTTTTAACTATACCACGAGGCACATGTGACTCAATTTATATCTGAAAATGCTGTCTCCATAGATGTCGGACTATACGCCATCAATCTGAGTCAGAGCTATATTATACTTCATGTCTTATCCTTATGTGATAAAATTCTCTCCAAACACTGACTGAAAATAGTCACTGGGGAGACAAAGTAAGGGTGCCCATGTTTAACAATTGAGCAAGTCGAGGCTGAAAAATACCTAAAGTAAACCCTTTATACACCATATGGCAGTTACGTCCATTCGGAACTCATTCGTGGTACCAAAGTAAACCCTTTATACACCATATGTTAATTACGTCCATTCGGAACTCGTAAGTGGTACCAAAGTAAGCCCTCTATGCACCATATGGTAATTACGTTAATTCAGAACTCATTAGTGGTACTAAAGTAAACCTATGCACCATATGGTAATTACGTTAATGCAGACCTCATTAGTGGTACTAAAGTAAACCCTTTTTACACCATATGGTAATTACGTCCATTCGGAACTCATTAGTGGTACCAAAGTAACCCCTTTATACACCATATGGCAATTACGTTCAATCGGAACTCATTAGTGGTACCAAAGTAAACCCTTTATCCACCATATGGCAATTACGTCCAATCGGAACTCATAAGTGGTACCAAAGTAAACCCTTTATACACCATATGTTAATTACATCCTTTCGGAACTCGTAAGTGGTACCAAAGTAAGCCCTCTATGCACCATATGGTAATTACGTTAATGCAGACCTCATTAGTGGTACTAAAGTAAACCCTTTTTACACCATATGGTAATTACGTCCATTCGGAACTCATTAGTGGGACCAAAGTAAACCCTTTATACACCATATGTTAATTACATCCATTCGGAACTCATTAGTGGTACCAAAGTAACCCCTTTATACACCATATGGCAATTACGTCCAATCGGAACTCATAAGTGGTACCAAAGTAAACCCTTTATACACCATATGTTAATTACATCCATTCGGAACTCGTAAGTGGTACCAAAGTAAGCCCTCTATGCACCATATGGTAATTACGTTAATTCAGAACTCATTAGTGGTACTAAAGTAAACCCTTTTTACACCATATGGTAATTACGTCCATTCGGAACTCATTAGTGGTACCAAACTAAACCCTTTCTACACAATATGGTTATTACGACCATTCGGAACTCATTAGAGGTACCGAAATAAACCCTTTATACACCATATGTTAATTACGTCCATTCGGAACTCATTAGTGGTACCAAAGTAA